CACCACCACCTCCCTCGTCGTTGCCGTCGTCGGCGTCGCCGTCATTCCTCCTTCGTTGTCGTTCGCGTCGTCGCCGTCCTCCCTCCTCCCTCGTCGTTGTCGTCGTTGTCGTTGTCGCCGTCGTCTTCCTTCCTCCTCCCTCGTCGTCGCCCTCGTTGGCGTCGTCGTCGTCGTCTTCGTCGGCGTCGGCGTCGGCGTCGTTGTCGTCGTCGAAGTCGTCGGAGACGTCGTCGGTGTCGTCCTAGTCGTTGTCGTCGGTGTCGTCGTAGTCGGTCTGAACAGGTTTTGCAAACCAAGTTGCGGGTGGGTGGGTGGGATGTTTGCGCGAGCAGTGGAGATGACGACTTCAAGTTCAGCACAGTGGATTGCACCACATAGATGGCACAACATTTACTGCACAGCAAACATTGCACCAAATACGTTGCACCGCATAGGAAGCACAACATTTGCCGCATCAAATAGTTTGCACAGCCACAAACATATATACATATGACTCACTACATAGATAGCACAACATCTACTGATCTTCGTGTACTGCACAGGCTGGAACAACATATATTGTACCACATCGATTGAACAATACAGGTTGCACCACATATTTCGCATCACATATATTGCACTCCACGTGTTGCACTACATATTTCGAAGACGACTACGGCGAATGACCGCCGCTCCCTGCCTTTTGGAATCGCCCATGTGGCCGAGCGTTGTGGCAAGAGCTCTGTCAAGCTATCGGACCATGCGTTCCCCCAACCGTTGGCGAAACCCTTCGGGGAACACTTGGGGGAGGATGGCGGGGAAGATCAGGAGGAGGAGGAGGAGGAGGAGGAAGAGGAGGATGATGAGGAGGAGCCTCTGGGGGCATCTTGCGCTGAGTGGAAATTCGTGCTTCGCGACGGTGTCACCACCTCGACGCTGGAGGAAACATGCGGCTGTGTGCCTCCGCGCTCCTGGCCTCTTTTTGCTTGCCCGCCCGGCCCATGCGCCGCGGCCGCTGCTCAGCCGGGCGCCGCTCGGCGGCGCCCCCCTCCCGCTCCTCGTTCACAGCCGCCTACACCACAGCCGCCTACACCACAGCCGCCACCGGCATCACAGCGGCCACCATGGTGCCGCTCACCACCACCACGGCGACGACGTCCACCTCGGCGAGGGCGTGGCGACAGACACCGAGGGCAGCAGCAGTCTGACCAAGGAGGCCAAGGTACAGTGGAGACCCATGCCAAGAAACACCCTGCTTGCCTCCAGGGTGCCCTGGGTTTCTTGGGTTTCGATGGTTTTGCGATGGAAAGCGTGACGTTCCCACACCAAAAATCAATGGACGTCCTGGGGTCTCAGGGTTGGGTTTCTTGTGGAAGGTTTCTCTTGTGGACTGGCCTCCACTGTACCTCCCCCCCTCACCCGGTCGTGTCGCGCTGCTGGTGCTCTCAGGTGTGCACCTGCGCCGCCCTTCGTCGTCCTCGTGCGATGCCGCGACGGGGTGGCTGCGGGCACTGGCGGGCAGGTCGGCTCGGCGCGGAACGACAGCCGATGCTTCTCATCGCCGCTCCCGTGACTCTGCCGACTCGCTCGGCGGGGCGCAACGATCCGCAGATGGGCGGGTTCAGTTGGAGCATCCGCTCTGCTCTCGTCTCGTGGTGCTCTGCTTCCGTCCTCTTGGTCCCTCCTCGTTTTGCCTTTTCTCTCGCTTGGTCCTGCGCCGCCCATTTTGCGGTCCCGGTTCACCATTGCGCGCCTCCGGTTGTCCGGCTTTGCCGCGCGTTTCACAAGGAAACGAACTCATTCGCTGGCGCCCCCACATAACTATTTATGCGCTGGTTGGATGCATTGGCGCGTCGGAGGATGCCCAATGTGTGGATGTGTGTGTGTGTGTGTGCGTGTGTCAGTGTGTGTGCGCGTGTGTGTGTGTGTGTGTGTGTGTGTGTGTGTGTGCGTGGGGCTCACCCTTCCCGCGCACCTGACTGCACCGTGCTGGTTCGCGCGTGGCCGCGGCGCCAATATATATATATATATATATATATATATATGTATATGTATACGTATATTTACATATACATATCTACATATGTATATTTATACATATATATGTGTGTCTGCGAGTTTGTGTGTGTGAGTGAAGTATCTGTCTGTCTATGCTTTCCTCTTGCATGCTGGACAATTCGCTCTTCGGCCGCCTCGAATTGCTTGACCGCTGGTGCAGTTTACCTCTGCATCGTCGCCGACGGAACAAAGTGTGTGTGTGTGTGTGTGAAGTAGGGGGGTTGAATGGGGATGGGGTCGTAGGAGGAGGATGGTTCATGAGGAGGGGGAGTGCAGCGTGCCTGGCCGTGAAACCTAGCCCACTGAGAGCATACGCGCACATTCTGGCAGTGTCGAGCGTAGCAGCCAGAAACTGCAGAGGATCCGGCAAGCCTTCGGGCCGAGGTACCACAACGATTCCAGCTGTGTGCGTGCTGCATCTCACTTCCCAGGACCTCGTTATGTCTTTCACTCACTCTCTCTCTCTCTTCCTCTCGCTCTCTTTTCTGTCTCTCTCTCTCTCTCTTTGTCTTTTTTTTTTGTTGTATCTCCTCTCTCGTTTATCTCTCTCTCTCTCTCTATCTCCCTCTTTCTGTCCTTGTGTTCAATTTTCTCTCTCTCTCTCTCTCTCTTTCTCTATCGTGCGCTATCCCTGGCCGTCATTCGAAATCATCGTCTGCCCCTGTGATTACACCCTGTCCCTGTGATCATCGTCCTCCCTTTTCTTCCCTGTATTCGCCCTCCTGTCGCCCCTGTCCTCCTCTGTGCACGCTCGCCAAAAGCGCAATCTCGCCTGGGTCCTCGTCCTCCTTTTACCTTCCTCTCCTCGTCTGACCTCCTGTTCCTCTCCGCGTCCCCTCCCCTCTTACCTCCTCAGCACCCTCCCGCTACTCTTCTTCTAGTTCCTCCTCCCTCCTCCTATAACCTCCCTCTCCTCCTACTCCTCCTTCACCGTAGAGGCCCGACAATCGTCAATCACCCCCCCTGACCCCCTGAGCTCTTAAAACATTTCAATCGTCCCGAACCTTATTCCTCTCTGGGGGCACTGGTGTTAATGTCTTGGGCTAGCTGTTCTCCTCGTTGTCGTCTTCGTCGTCGTCGTCGTCGTCGTCGTCGTCGTCGTCTTGTCGTCTTTGTCGTTTTTGTCTTTGTCGTCTTCGTCTTTGTCGTCTTTGTCGTCTTTGTCGTCTTTGTCGTCGTTGTTGTCTTTGTCGTCTTTGTCATCTTCGTCGTCTTTGTCGTCTTTGTCGTCGTCGACGTCATCGTCGTCTTCGCCGCCTTTGTCGTCTTTGTCTTTATCTTTGTCGTCGTCGTCGTCTTCGATTTTATGAAGACGTGTGATGTCGAGGCCTAGGCCCTCTCGATCACAGCTGAGGCTGGGACGACCCTCCCCCCCAGGGAGTGGTGACACAAGAAAACGAGGAGGCGGAGGAGGAGGTGGGCGAGGAGCAGGATTGGGGAAGGGAGGGGGAAGGGGAGGAGACGAGGAGGAGGAGGAGGAGGATGAGGAGGTCAGAGCAGGTAAGGTCAGGCAGGCCTTGAAGGCTCCACTATGAGGAGTCGACCAGGGGGATGGATCCCACATAGCACCGGCCCCAGGGAGGAGGAGCAGCCTGACCAGCATCAGTAGGATGACCGCCCCTGGGGCTGGTGACGATTCTGATTATGATGATGATTCTGACGATGATGCTGATGATGATGATTATGCTGATGATGATGCTGATGATGATGAGGATGAGGATGCGGATGAGGATGAGGATGATGATGAGGATGAGGATGAGGATGATAATGAGGATGAGGATACTGATGATGATGCTGATGATGATCATGATGCTGCTGCTGATGATGATACTGATGATGATAATTGTGATTATGACGATGAATTTAATGATGCTGCTGATGCTGATGCTGATGCTGATGCTGATGCTGATGCTGATGCTAATAGTTATAGTGCTAATGCTGATGCTGATGATGATGATGATGTCGCTGATGCTAATGCTGTTGCTGATGCTGGTGCTCATGCTGTTGCTGCTGCTGGTTGATGACGGTGATGATGATGCTGATGATGCTGATGATGATGGTGATGATGCTGCTGCTGATGATGATGATGCTGATGCTGATGAGGATGATGATGATGATGAGGATAATGCTGATGCTGATGCTGATACTGCTGATGCTGATGAGGATGCTAATGAGGATGATGATGAGGATGAGGATGAGGAGGAGGAGGAATAGGTGGATGATGATGTTGTTGATGATGATTACGATGACGACGATGATGATGCTGCTGATGATGACGATGGTGTTGCTGATGATGGTGGTGCTGATGATGCTGCTGCTGATGATGAGGATGATGCTGATGATGGTGATGATGCTGACGATGAGGATGCTGCTGCTGATGATGATGATGCTGATGCTGATGATGATGATGCTGTTGATGATGATGACGATGATGATGCTGATGCTGATGATGATGCCGATGATGATGCTGATGCTGATGCTGATGATGCTGATGCTGATGCTGATGATGATGATGCTGATGCTGGTGATGATGATGATAACGATGATGATGATGGTGGTGGTGCTGATGATGCGGCTGCTGATGATGAGGATGATGCTGATGCTGATGCTGCTGATGCTGCTGCTGCTGCTGATGATGATGATGATGATGATGATGACGACACGGAGATCAGAAGGCAGGATATATTATGAGATGTGATGATGGATGACTGATAGAGTGAGGATGAGGATGCGGATGAGGAATGATGATGATGATGATTATCACACATATGATGATGATGATGATGATGATGATGATGATGATGATGATGATGATGATGATGATGATGATGATGATGATGATGATGATGATGATGATGATGATGATGATGATGATGATGATGATGATGATGATGATGATGATGATGTTTTGGAGGAGGAGGAGGAGGAGGAGGAGGAGGAGGAGGCGGAGGACCGCCGCCGAGGCTGGGACGAGTCCTCCTGGGGCTGGTGACGCAGGCGGGCCGCCGCCGCGCAGGGTGCAGTTCTTCCCGTAGTCGTCGTCGTCGTCGCCGTCGCCGCCGTCGTCGTCGTCGTCGTCGTCGTCGTCGTCGTCGTCGTCGTCGTCGTCGTCGTCCGTCCGTCGTCGTCGTCCGTCCGTGGTCGTTGTTGTCGTCGTCGTCGCTGTTGTCGTCGTCGTCGTCGTCGTCTCCGCCGCGTCAGACGGGCCGCCGCCGCCCCCCGGGCCCCGCCTCGCGGCGCCCGGCGGGCGGCGCGCGCCGCGCGTGGGCTCCCTCCGCTCGCGCGGGCTGCCTCCGCTGGCGGCGGCGGGCCGCGAGACGCCCCTGCGCCGCGCCGTCCGCCGCCGTGCCGCCGTCCGCTGCGCGGGCTAGCCGCGGCGCGGCTGCCGAAGCCGTCGTCGGCGCCGCGCGCGGCTTGCCGCGGCGCTCGCACGCAAGTGAGCCGGTGGGAAGAGAGCGCCCACAGACGAGATGCGCTTGAAGTAGCGTCAGTCGTGAGCACAGGCAGGAGGGGGCCCCGCACGCGCGGGCGCCGGCAGCTCTCAGTGCGGTGACGGTCCAAGACCTCCCAATGGGTCGAAGGATCGCGCCGCATCGCCGATGCATCGGCGATGTGGCTCCATGCGGAGCCCGACTTTCGCCACGCCGATGGTGCCAATGCGTCGCCAGCATCGCCGGTGCGTCGCCGATGCATCGCCGATGCATCGGCGATACATCGGCGATGCATTGGCGATGCGGCGCGATCCTTCGACCCCAGCTACTCGCACCCCATCTAGGAGGCCATGCCACCCGTCGGTGATCGACGTTCGATTCATACCCCTGCTGCTGCCCCTTCTCCCAGCGCCAGGTGCAGCAGGGTGTGGACAAGATCACGGGTTCGGAGGCGAGGGTTTCATCCACATCCCCGTTCTGGCCTCCTGTGGGGGTCGGGGCAAAGAGGAGGCGTAGGAGGAGGAGGAGGAGGAGGAGGAGGAGGAGGAGGAGTAGAAGGAGGAGGATGAGGAGGAGGAGGAGGCAGGGGCATGGGTAAGATGTCGAGCGCCTATATCCTGACCTCGTTTTCACCTTTTTCCATCTTTCTTGGGCCTCCTTCGGGGCCCTTGTCGCCACGGCTGGATTCGCCCCGAAGTTCGTCACAGCGCACCCCAGGAGAGCTTCCGGGAGTAGCGGTATCGATATCTTTTGGTTTCTCCAGGCTCGTTGCAGCGGCCGCCGCCGCTGCCGCCGTCTTCGCCGTTCCCGTCATCGTCGTCGTCGCCGTCGTCGCCGTCGCCGTCGCCGTCGTCGTCGTCGTCGTCGCCGTCGCCGTCGCCGTTGCCGTCGTCGCCGTCGTCGTCGTCGTCGCCGTCGTCGTCGTCGTCGTCGTCGTCGTCGTGTTCGCCGCCGCCGCCGCCGCCCGTGGCGCGTCGTCGTCATGGCCGCCTCCGCCCTGGCAAGCGTCCAGCGTCCGGCGTGTCGCGGCTCCGCGAGGGGCGGGCCTCTGGGTCTCGCGGCCCCTTCCTCCAGGCTGGGCGTGGTGCAACCCGAGGCGGCTCCTTCGACGGCACCGGGGCCCGAAAATCGGCGTCACTCCAACAGATTTATGCTATATGTTCGTCGCCCCCCCAGGGGCGACGCACGCACCGAGAAATCTTGCAGTGTATGCGCCGTGGCGGGCGCTTTCTGGCCACATCTTTTGGGAAGCGATATGCCACAAGATGGGTATACTATATGTTCTGTTTGGACGCGCACCTCCAAGGAGGACATGTAGTACTAGCATGTCTCTGTGCGTCCCATCCGGGGGTCCATTGCGAAAAATCAGCGGTATCGTTTTTCCCCAAGCAGTGCTTGCAGCACTCGGGGCTCTTACCTCGGTTAACCATCTCGGGACCCTCGCCGCAACATCGCCGCCGTGCCGCCCGTCGCCGCCCGTCGCCGCCCGTCGCCCGTCGCCGCCATCCCAGCCCGTCGCCGCCCGTCGCCGCCCGTACCGCCCGTCGCCAGCCGTTGCCGCCCCTCAGCGGTATTGTCTTTTTCGAAGCGCTGGATGTTTGGGCCCGCCAACCCTTTCGGGGACAGTGCGAGACTTCTTGAGGCTCCTCGGTAATCCATGCTTCTCCAGCTGGGCGAGGCGTAAACCGACGGGGTCGACTGCTTGTACGTTCGCGCGTCGGCTTCCTGCGTAAGGTCGCGTGCAAGTGCCCTTCTCCTCTTCTCCCTGCTCCTCCTCTTCTTCCTCCTCGTCCTCCTCCTCCTCCTCCTCCTCTCTCCTCTCCTTCTTCTCCTCTTCCTTTTTCTCTCTTCGTCCCTCCTCGTTCTCCCTCTCCTCCTCCCTTCCCTCCTCCTCCTCCTCCATCCTTCTCCTCCTCCTCCTCCTTCTTCTCCCCCTTCCGACGCGCGCTGGGGATGATGATGATAATGATGATGATGAGGATGAGGATGATGAGGATGATGATGATGCTGCTGATTGTGATGTGCTGTTTTTGATGATGATGATGATGTTGATGCTGCTGCTGATGATGGCGATGGACATGATGACGATGCTTGTGATGCTGATGCTGCTATTGCTGATGATTGCATGGCGATGATGATGATGCTGATGATGATGATGATGATGATGATGATGATCATGATGATGATGATGATGGTGCTGACGATGCTGCTGCTGCTGATGATGATGATGATGATGCTGATGCTGCTGCTGATGATGATGATGATGACGACGACGATGATGATGATGATGATGCTGATGATGATGATGATGATGATTACGATGATGCTCATGGTGGTCGCGATGATGATTTGTGGTGGTGGTGATGATGATGGTGACGATGATGCTTATGTATTTTGATGGTGATGCTGAGGATGATGGTTATCATGCAGATGATGATCATAATGATGATGATGATGATGATGATGATGATGATGATGATGATGATGATGATGTTGAGGATGTTGGTGGCTGTGATGCTGATGCTGATGCTGATGATGATGGCTATGATGATGATGGTGATGATGATGATGTGCTGATGCTGATGATGATGATGATGATGATGATGATGACATGATGATGATGATGATTGATGATGATGATGATGATGATGATGATGATGTTGTGCTGATGATGATTATGATGATGATGATGATGATGAATGATGACTGATGATGATGATGATGATGATGAGATGATGCTGATGATGATGATGATGATGATGATGATGATGATGATGATGGATGATGATGATGATGCTGATGATGATTGATGATGATGATGATGATGATGATGATGATGATGATGATGTGACTGATGATGATGATGATGATGAATGTGCTGCTGCTGCCTCTATGCTGATGATGATGATGATGATGATGATGATGATGATGATGATGATGATGATGATGATGATGATGATGATGATGATGCTGGTGCTGACGATGCTGATGATGACGACGACGTTGACGACGACGACGACGACGCCGACGACGTCGACGACGACGCCGACGCCGACTCCGACGACGACGACGAGGACGACTCCAGAGCCCCCTCGCCGTCGGCGTGCCGCAGCGGTGGCCCCCCCGCCCCGCCGTGGGCCGCGGGCTGCGCCTCCGGCCGGGGCTGGTGCGCCCGGCGGCGCCGCCGTCGCCACCCCCAAATGGGCCGCTGCGCGCCGAGCCGCGGGCCGCGACAGCGACTGGCCCTCTGAGGCGCGCCGAGCTGCGGCCAGCGGCGGAGAGGGGACTCTCGAGTCGTCGTCGTCGTCGTCGTCGTCGTCGTCGTCGTCGTCGTCGTCGTCGGCGGCGGCGGCGGCGGCGGCGTCGTCGTCGTCGCCGTCGGCGGCGTCGTCGTCGTTGTCGTCGTCGCCGTCGGCGTCGTCGTCGTCGTCGTCTCACTGGCGGTTGTCGGCGGCTGCAGCGGTGGTTGCGGTGACCCCCGAGATCTCGGTCCCATGTCTTGAGATTTCTCGCGATGCTGCAATTTTTTCGCGACGTCGGCTCTCAGGGTCCGAGGCTCCGATTTTTTGTAACCAGTGTTAAGTCGGGCACGTTCCTCTACAGAAGGAAAGTTTAAATATTATTAAGTATGTTTGAACTTTTTTTTTTTTTCGCCCAGAATCTGCCTGTAGGGGGACATGCCCGACCTAAAACCAGGGTTCTGTCCTCGATTTTGCCATCTGGTGCCCGTTTCTGGGCCCGGGGCCGTCAAAAGCTGCCTGGAGCGAAAAGGTACCCCTGCGGCAGCGCTGGGCACCTCTGGTGCTTCGGATGGAAAAGATTACGTCGCCGTGCGCGCCGTCAGCGTCGCCGTCGTCGGCCCTCGTCGTCCGACGTCGTCGTGGCGCCGTCATCGGAGGGAGGAGGAGCTATGATCATAAATGATGCGGCGGAGGAGCAGCAAAAGTAGTAGGTTAAGGAGGATGAGGAGAGTTTGGACTCCGCGGGCTCTGTTCTCTGCATGCGCAAAGGCAGTGCAGGATGCTTATGATGATGCTGCTGATGATGGTGATGGTGATGGTGATGGTGATGGTGATGATGATGCTGCTGCTGATGATGATGATGGCGATTCTGACGATGATGGCGACGAGGATGATGATGATGATGATGATGATGATGATGATGATGATGATGATGATGATGATGATGATGGTGATGATGGCGATGATGATGATGCTGCTGATGATGATGATGCGTCTGAGGTGGAGGAGGGGGAGGAGGAGGGTCAGTGTAAACCCAAGACGCAGCAACTTTGTTACAAACAGCCCTCCCTCCAGGTTTCTTTTTCGTAGGTCCCCACAAGAATTTATTATTGTTCTCGGAGTTTGCCCATTAGAAGGCAACCGTCTGATAATCCTCAACCGTGCCAACACATTGTTCCTGGGATGCCAACGCCGTGGATCCACGTGATTGTTGCGTTTTGACAATCTTAAGTTGTGCCAGAAAACCATTCTTGGGACGTCAACTCCGCGAATCAACGTTGCTGCGTGCCAGAGCATCATTCCCGTGACTTCGACAACAT